ATGTAATCAATATCAAACAACAATATAGAACGTCCGCCTAGAAACTGTGACGTCACTAGTACAAATTCTTACCAAAACGTAAGTACAAATTCTTACTAGTACCAACTTCCTTACCAAAAATTTTCAAAACCGTTATCAATTATAAAAATATTTTGTTAGTACTTATATCCTTGTCTAACAAAATATTTAATTTCTTTTCTATGCATTTATTCTATGCGCGCTGTCATCATTGACAGCACACCATAGAAATGAAAGGTTTCACAAAATTTAGTTTGCTTTAATTTTTTCTTTACTTAATTTTTTCGCAATTTTATCGTTCTTTTATATTTTCTGGTTGTTATTCGATAAAGGGAAAACGAAAAAAGTGAAAAAAATTATAATTTACGCTGTCATAAACCCCTTACATAGCACCTTACACCGCCTTTATAAAACTTTTGTAAACGAGCATCTACTGAAATTTTTTTTGTACATTTTTTTTTTAATTTTTCTTCTTTCTTAAAAGTTTTTTAATTATTTTTTGAGAAAAAAGATAACAGGATTGGAACCACAACAAACGGCAATCTGAAAAATTTGAATAAAAACTAAATCAATTGCTGAGCATATTATTTGCTGAATAAATTAGTTTCGCCATGTTATACGAATTTTTTACTTTTTAATTTACAAATTTCCATAGAAAAAATAAAGTTAAATAAGGCTAGATTGCCTTGGCTCGCACATTTTAATGTGATATTATGGTCTCAAATGAATAATACCATATTTTTCGAAATACATAATAAAGTTATACTATAATAATTATAATGACACTATTAAACAGATACCAGTGCCTCCTGAACTTAGAAATTAAAACTTACACCGTAGCGGTATAACTTGGTATCTTTTTTTTTTGTCCGTTAATTACTAGATTAACTATATTTTCGTTGCATTACTAGATTAACTATACTCTCTGCATTTTCGAAATTATCACTTTTAAAGTTTGAATTTCCGAACACCATATACAAAATTTGAACATACAATTTTAAAGCCACGAGCCTTCTTTACTTGAATTTAGTATGTTTCCGTTACTGCCTTATTTCAATCGTTTCTTTATATACCAAATATCATAATCTCGTCATTATTCAAAATAAGAGAAAATATTCGTACAACTTTTTCTTAATTTTAAGAGCAAAAACTTCTTTTTTTTGCTTCACAGATATTTTAAATACTTTAACAAATTTTATCTTATTGTTTTTTATTTACTTTTTTTTGTGCATTTAATTTCCTGGTTTTCCTTAGGTTCCAAATTCAAAAATAAGAAAAAAATGGCCATAAAACTAAGGTTAAGTTCTGCTCAACCTCTCTTTTCTCACATCTTTTAATGCTTTTTTCAATTTACATCATTTTCATTTTTTCGAATACTAGTTTCTCGATCTGTTTCCTGATATAATTTAAACTTATTTAATTTAAATATTAGTCTTCTTACTTACGTTGTAACCAAGCGTTCAGGTATTAGTTTTTTTTTTCTACACTTCTCTTGAGAGCACAAGGACTCTACTTGAAATCTGCATCTGGTTCGATTGTTGACTACTTTCTTAACTTGATCGTATTTCCTTGACGATAGGTTTCTCGCCTGGTATTATCCAGAGCTCCTCATTGCTAATAGTTTTCAGCCACAATATTTTCTGAAACTTCTATTGATGAAGACTTGTAGTTTCTGTCCCATAGTTTTTGATTTTTTGATTTTTATATCGCTGCTATATGTTAGGACTATTCTTCATTCACACATGATCGGAATATTCTGAACTTGGTCGTCCTGGATATCTGGCTGCGTCTCCATATCGGCTGCAACCTGCCGAACGCTACCCTTGTCTTTTTGAGTCTGTTATCTACGCCTTCTTGAGGCCCGCCATCAAGTGGTATGATGCTGCACAAGTAGCAGGAACTATTAACGAACTCACGTATAAATTAGCCTAATAAATAAGTTTCAACATAAAAGTACAATTGCATATTCGCGCAAGTGTTTTACAAAAGATGTACCACACAATAAAGCTCTCATATGACTGGAGCAGCATTCACGAAAAATTGAGCTATAACCATTGAGCTAGTATTAAAAACACTTTCCAAGTTCCAATAGTTGAAATTTTTTCGGTACGTACTTTACTATTTGAAAAGTAAAAATTTTAAATGTCCAAGTTAATCGGGACAGTTACGCAATTTAAGATCGTATTTTTTTATTCTATTCGACTGCTCACAAGTTTCTTCACTTTGATATTTTTTTTATGTCTAGATAGACATGAAATTTGATTACATAATGCAATTAAATTGAGGCTTTTAAAATAGGTTTTTTTATGCTTTTTGATACAAAAATTAGTGGTTTTTGGTCAATTTTTTTTTGGTTCGTTGTTGATCTGATCTAGTATTTTTTTTAAGACTTCAACTGAAACTAAAAAATACAAAATTTTTCTGCATCCATACTGTACAATAAATTGTATCCCGCTTGAGATTGTAAGTTTATAAGCACTTAATTAGAATCACAAATTTATGTGCTCTTAAACCTTTTAATTCATTAAAATTTGCATTAGAGCATATGCGGAATGGAATATTTAACCGGTCTTTACACTTAATATTAACGAACTCATTCGTCGTTGATTAACTCGTTCATATTTGAGATGATTTATAACCTAAAATAGACAGTAGAAATAAAATATGCTCTTATCTAACTTTACTTGACATCTTTATAAAATTTTCGAAAGGCGAACCAGTCAATTTTTTTTTGATTTTCCGAACGTCAAATCCGAAATTCCGTTAGTTTGCTCAAAACGTATTTTTTTTCCTCCAAAACGTATTTTTACGTATTGTGTAAACAATAGGTAGGTTATGTGATGGCAACAAATTTTGCACATCGAGTTTTTGGTGGGAATGCACTTCTCCGTAGTAGGGAAGTGTAAGTAAACTATTTTTAGCAACCTGTCGGTCCGTCGGTCTGTCGGTCTGTCGGTCTGTCGGTCTGTCGGTCTGTCGGTCTGTCGGTCTGCCGGTCTGTCGGTCTGTCGGTCTGTGTGTACGCGTGTATGTCAAGTTCCACTAAACCGATTTTGATGAAATTTTATATGTAAGTTTATTTCCACCATGGCACGGATTGATCAACTTTTGGTATATATCAGGCCTCGGGAACCGCACTTTTTAGCGGGCCTGTTTTATATTTTTCAACATTTTGAAGAAAATATTCAACCAATTTACTTGAAATTTCATATAAAAGCTCAGCTCGACCGTCCGCGAAAGTTCCTATGTTTTGAAAGAAATCAGGCATCGGCAACTAGACGTTTACTACGGGCAAAATATACATTTTTGTGTATATAAAGAGAAATAATCAACCGATTTCATTGAAATTTAATATTTGAATTTCTCGTATTAAAACAATGAACATGTAAATTTTTTGGAAAGATCAGAGCTCGAATTGATGGAATTTCTTCAAATTTGATATTTCAGTTCTGGTTATTACCGAAACTAACATTTCAGGGAATTCGGGTAGCACAAAGCGAAACTCTACTTAGAGCCAAATTTACATTTTTCTAAGTATGTTAACTATAAGCTTATTAATGTCCTAAAAATTGGAAAGAAGTATTTAACAGACATTTTTATAATATTCTGTAACACTTTCATTTAACTAGACAATAAACAATGCGGTCGGTTCTGTGCTGATCACATCAGATTTTTTTATTTGTGAAGAACAACACCTTTACTCTTACCAGTTTTTGAGTGGTTAAGACGTAAAATTATGAAAAAAAAAAGAAAGAAAAAACCTGTCTGTTTTCTTTTTTACAAAGAATTTCAAAGTTCAAAAAAATTATAAGAGAGCAGACAAAAAATATGAAAACAAAAAATACAAACAAAGTAAAAAAAAATCAAAAGAATATTTAAGTGAGATTTGTTGGTTGAAAAATAATTTGAATTTTAGCCATTAATGAACTAAAACACAAAATACTTTTTTTTTTTAATTATGGTGTCGGCAAAACCTTCATCTTACCATTAAAGTGCAAAAAAGAGTAAATTAAAATTAAAAGAAGAATTTGAAGGAAAACGAATTGAAATTGAAATTTGTAACCCAAAAAATTTTTTCACTGAAGTTATTTGGAAATTTTTCAATTCGCAACAATCTAGTTATAAACTTTATCAGATCTTGGACATTATTAATGTTAAACTATTCAAAATTAAAGTCTAATTTGGATTATAATCTGTCTTAATCAAGAAAAAAATATGACCTTTATCAACCATTTAAATCTTTAGTTTAAATTCTAAAAATCAACTAATTATATTTGAGCAATTTTCCGCAGAAATCATTCCCAAACTTATAAAAAATATTATAAAATTTAGGATAATGCAAAGAAATGTACTCTGAGCAACATTTTGTATTAAAATCTAAGATATTCTTCAATAAAATGTAAGATATTCTTATATTATTATTGCTTACATGAAAAGAAATTATTAAATTGGTGAACGTTCAACTAGCCTAGCCCCCATATTACTTACATTTTCAAAAGAAATTCTGCATAAATTTTTAATAGTCTTCAATAATAATCACAATTACGTAAACATTGTTTATAATTACTACTCCATTGTAAAGAATTAAAAAATAATTAAATTAGTATAACAGTTACATTTTCAGTTACAATATCTGTGAAAATATTGGCCCATATATTAAAAAAGCTGCACCAAATGCTTAAAATAAAAGCTATAATAATTCATAATGAGGCATTATTATTGGATTTGTCATAATTCTTTTGTAACTCCAAAAAAATGGTACCTATTACAAACAGCTTCAAAATATTTATCATAAAATTTATGTGATTTTCAAAAATTTTCAGTAGGTAATTTGAAAATTTAATAAAGTTAAATTTAATAATTTAACTTTATTAAAATTTGTTTTATAAACAATTAGAATCGTCTGTTTTATAATTATTACTAATTTAACATTATTAAACTCACATTACAACATTAACAATTTTATTTTTTTTATGTTACAGGAATCAATTTGTTAAGGGATTGAAACCTACAAAGTAAATTGTAAGTAAACTCTTTAATTTTATTATTAATTTAAAATATAAAATTTTAAAAAATATTTTTGTTGTACAAAACTATAAAGGATGAACCTGTAACGTGTTATAATCTCTCGGAGACAGAAAGGTGGGAAAATTTCTGCAAAGTCTAATTTACGAAATTAAGTCTGCAAATTTTCATTTAACTAAAAGCTTACTAGTAATTAATTTAAAGGATATATGGCAATATGAATGTTATTTATTAATCTTTAAAAATTTTAACCAAAACATTTTAGCTACTAAAACGATTGTACTAAATAAAATGTAAAAAAAAAAATCTAAAATAACTTTAAAAAAATCCACAAAAATTTACAACAAAAGATGTCATTTCGATTTTATATGGATATCAAAAAAAAAAAAAAAAAAAATCGCCTGAATCTATGCAATTTTTTCATATTTATTTTTTTTCATTCCTGTTCAAACTAACGTTTTTTTTATTTACTGCTGCAATTCAAATATTTGCTTTTGCAACATATTGAATTTAATATGAACTTTTATTGTCATTTTGAATTTATGACTTATAATAAATTAAAATCCATACAGAAATTTATGAAGAAAAGCAAAAAAAAAAAACTTTATTTTATTAAAAATGAGCAAAAAAAGCAAAAACAAAGCAAAACAATAAATAAATATTGTTACCTTATTATTATCAGCTTCTACAAACAAATTTTTCAGTTCACATAACTTCTGATTAAGACAGGTGTTCAATTTATACCTTCGTGTTGCATAACAAAAAAAAAATGAAAAAAAAAAAAACGAAAAAATAAATAATAAAAACAAAATCTTTTTTATTATCTTCAATTATGAAAATAAAAAAAAAAGCAAAAACAATTTTTCCTCTACACCAGTATCGCAGTCAATCAGTTTCGCTTTAAACTGATGGTAGATAAATGAAATTGAAAAAATAAAAAAAATCAAAGGAAAAAAAACGTAACAACAATCATCAAAAACCACCACTTTTTGCCAGTATCTCTCCGTCTCGCTCTGCAATATATCCTTTTTCTCTCTCTTGAATTTTTTTTATTGGTAACACAGAATAATTCAATAAATGATCAGGCTAACTATAAGACGACGAGAAATTCAAATCAAGTAAAAATTTGGAATACAAAAAAAAACGTTAGAGGCAATACCGTTCGAAGAAACAAACATGAACCTAGCACCAACATATTTATGAACAGGTTTCTAAAATTTACGAAGATGATTTATTCTTCATTATTTCATCTATAAAAATAACCCATAACTGCTGTGAAGAAATTACAACTTCAAATTTTTGTGAGTTTGCACAAAATTTTAAGAATAGGCAAAGAGAGCAAAAAAAAAAGTAATTATCAAAAATATCAGGACATTTTTTTGAAGCAATTAAGTAACTATTAACTTTGAAACAAAATTTGACTAAATCGAATTGAAAAATTTGAATAATTCCAACATAAACTGAATTTGTGAAAACATTTAGAATTGGCATGATAACAATCTTTAGAATGCTACTATCAAACCAAATTTTCGAAACTCATTTTCATTTTGGTCGAATTTTCCAAGGGTATTTTTTCCCCACTTTTATGACCTTCTTAAATTTTTCCGGATTAACACCACCGATTTATTTTTAACTACATATAGATCTCGTAACAATACTCTTGCAACTGTTACAAATGGCTAAACAATTTTATGATCTGTTACGGCATTTATTCAAAAAAATAAAAAGAAAATAAAATAAAATGTTTTTTTTTATATTCCTTTAAGCGTATATTCTTCGAGGAAGACTAAAGGACGAAAAAGGTGAGGAAAACCACAAAAAAAAAAATTAAAAAACAAAATAATAAAATAAAAAATTCAAAAATCATCTTTCATTTTGAAAAAAAAGAAAATAAACAAAACAAAAAATAAAAACAAATTTTCAAGGTGAAAACAATTTAAGAGCTTTTTTCCATTTTCTATTTTCCTTTATCTCAGTAATTTTTACTTATATGTTGGGTGTATACAAACATATTAACTGATAGAAATTGTAAATATATATATACCTAAAATTCGACATGTAAAAAAAAAGGATACAGATAAAGAAAACAAAAGTAAAATAGAAAAAGAGAGAGAAAGAGAGAAAATAATGTTGGGAAGGAAGGAAAGAAACAACAAATAACGGGTAGACTGCATAAACGGGATAATAGAAATTATATAGAAAGGATATAAAGTAGAAATAATTTAAATCGGATATATTAGGGTTACCTTATCTTCTTCTATTTGTGCTCGTACTACTTTTTTTTCGTAAAAATTTATTTATGATTGCTATTTTTTTAAAAGCTTTATTGTTTTAGGATCTTGTAGGACCAACGTTCATAAAAGTTGTCAAACAAATGTTATAGACATTTCGGAGACCATTACAACAATATGCCTGCCGCATTTCCATATAATTAATGGATTTTTTTAAAACTGCTACCATAACTTTTTAGGTAAAGTATCAGTTGGATTGGGGCAATCTTTCAGATTTTCAATACAGTTTCGTGTGCAATAAAATTATGCATTGATGCCAAATTTGATTCAAAACAAGAATATATGTGTTCGTGCATATGTACTTAATAGGGTCGGCTATATTTTTATGTTTCACACTTTGTAACAAATTTAATATTCTTCCCATTGTCATAAAAAAATAGGGTATAAAAGCTAGATTAATTGCAAATAGAATTTTTAAAGGATACTATAGAATTTTGAGTTCCTAACTATTACTTAATGCCTAAAGCAAGTTGCAGGGATAAAAATGTTCAACGATTTGATGTATGACAATTATAAGTGGAATTTTCAAATTTAGCCATAATTTTTTTTTCCAAAATTTTTTAATTGTTTTCAGTTTTTAAGAGTAGCACAACTTTTATTCATTATTTTTTTAATAATTTGATTACCCTTAATTGGAAAGAAAAACTTTTTATTTTAACAACATTTTCAATTTTTCTTCGAAAATAAGAATATACATATATACATATATACAATAAGAAGAAATATAAGAAAATTATTTATTTTTTACTTAATTTTCTAACTGATTCTTAAGATATAATGAATGATATACCTGCACTTTGTACACCTCCATTACGTTTCTTTTTTTTTAGTTCTTTGTTGTTAAAATGAAAAAAAAAAATAGCAATATCATTCTTTCAAATCCTTATATACATATATACAAATATATTATGTACAATATTGTAACAATATATACGAGATCTTATATACCATTTTCCTATACAATAAAAATACATACATACATACTTAATATTTTCTTTCAAATATGTTAACAAAGGCACTCATATTTAATATGTAACATTATATAAAAATAAATAATAAGGTTTTGTATTAAAATCATCACATATTTTCTACTCATGTATGTATATTTTCTAGGATGATTCTATATACGAATTCTAAGAAAATTTTGTAGGAAGACTTTACAATACAAATATCATTTTTAAAACATTGAAATTTTTTATGGAATTCTTTAAAGTTTTAAAGTTAAGAAAACTATTAAATGTTGCAAGATTTATTATAGATATTAATTCTTAAATAGAATGCGTTAAATTAAATCAAATGGATTACTCGCAGTTTGGAGTTATGTAGTTATGCATATCTAGGTATTATTTAGCATCAGAAAAGAAAAAAAATTGCAAATTTTTGTTGTCGATTGAATTATTTGTGTTTTAATTATCGTGCAATCTAACGGACGAACATTTTTAATTCAACGGAGCATTTTACGATCAGCAAGAGTACAATAATATATACAATACCGCACCTGAGACGACTCCTTCAAATAGTTACAAATTCCATACTAAAGTTAATGTATCCTTCTCGAAGGTGCAGAGTATAAAAAAATGCTATTAATTTTTAAATAACAATAGAAAAAGAAATACTTATTATGGCTCTGAACTCAGAAAGAGTTGTCCTCTTATATAAATTTTGTGCTTCAATTAAAATTTTTTCCATTTCATATTTGTTGTTGAAATTCATTTGTTAACCAATAACAAAACGAATTATGAATTATAAATGAATCCTGAAAAAGGGCTATATTTATAATTTTTTACTTTGCAAATTCTTTGTATAATTATTATCAATGTCATTTTAATATGAATTATTTATATTATATGTCAAAAACGGCTGTGTTTTAAAAAAAAACTTATGTACATTATTATTTATTATTTCGAATAAATTCCCAGGAGAATCAATATTAATTTGACCCAAAGGGATTTATACATACATTATACAATTTAAAGTACATTAAATATTTATTATTTTATTCTTGCATTTTATTTTTACCATAAAACAAGTTCAAATAGTTTAAATATAGTTCGAAGAGAAAATTATTAAGTACAAAATATACGAGTTAAGTATATAGATTTTTATAACAGAACATTACGTAAATGTGTACATTTTGTGTATGCAGGGTGATTCTGAAAGGTATACAACAACATATATTGATCAAATGGGCAAAACTTTTATTTCGGACTGGGTACCAAATCTCAAGGGTTTTCGAGTTCCAGGGATTTTAACGAATGCTCACGAAATCTTTACTTATCAAAGTTTTCTTTAATTATAACTTCCGTTCCAAAAAAAATAGGAACTTTAAACAAACAGTTTCTAAAAGGTCTAGTAAAGGGCATTGTTATTTTATTAATTGTATGTAGCAATCAATGTAAACAAAAAACAAATACTTAGTAATCATGTGAATTACAGTATAAAAGCAATGTAGAGAACATTTCGTCGGCAATTTCTTCATGCCTCTGTAACTCAGTTGGTAGAGCGTCCGCCTAGAAAGCGGTAGGTCACTGGTTCGAGTCCAGTTCGAGGAGAAAAATTTTTTTAATGAATAATTTTTCTGCCTTTAACTCGTTCCTTTGATTACGTCATCCATCTGTTCTGCAGTTGCATGAAGAAATTTCCATTAAGATAAATTAGTAGTGTAATAGGCACATTTATTATTCCGCAACTATGATGTTGTATTAG